AAAGCAAACAAGTTATGTAAATAGGATGACAGATTCTTATGAAACAGGAACAAAAATCATTTTTATGCATAGGAAAGAAGCGGTTTCCCTTGACTTATTTACAAGAATTGTATCTATACCCAAATTCTAAATAAACTACTTTCAATACTTTTAATCCTTTAATTCCTTTCAGCCATTAAGACCTGAAAATCTTTGAGCTGCATGAGTTTTAAATCCTTTATTTAGGTTAGTTCAAACATCAATAGTTCTCTGGTCCATATGAGATAACCCCTTATTTTCAAAATATTTGTTACTTCTCCCTTCCCCCCCCCATAGTGTTTTTAAGGTTTTAATTGTGTCTTATCTTGAAATTTCAATATTTTCTGTAACCAGTCTAAATTTTAATCAATATAAATACAATCCAGTGTTTGTTATTTGGAATACTTATTTATAGATTAATAATTTAAACATCTTAAATAGATTATAAAAAGTATTGCACATTAATCCTTCTCAATATATTCCAATTTTAGGTGAATCTGACTCTGATGTACATCATAATAGATGCAGGACAGCTTTAAATTATATGATCTCTCAATACCCCCGACAACGTACATAGCATGTTCACAAGTGTATAGATAAACCCTCATTATTTTTCCTTTTCCTCCCTCTCAAATTCCAAACAACTATGAAGCAGAAGAAGTGTTCAAGATGTTAGTTAATCTGGTGATATAGCTATTTTTTAATGCTGGAATTGTAAAAATTGACCAGATCAAGTCCAACAAACTCATCTTTTTGTTTACACAGGAGTCAAATCATTCTGAGCATGGAGACTGCATTTATGGAACTGGATTTAATCCTGCTTTACATGATTCTGCTAAACCAGATATTATACACCAGATGCTAACATGGGTGCCAGAAAACACTGCCACATCAAAGAAAGAGCTCAGCAAAGATAAATTTCACAAGTCATTTCCATGCCAACTACCCATTTAGGACTTGTTTATACATTATAGGAATCAGCTATTTTGAATATGTTGCAAATATATAATGAAAGAGAGAGAGAGAACACTTATGTCACCTCTAGGAGTGAAAAATATGCTTTATGTTTATAATTTGAGATTGTTGCTTTGGAAATTACAGAGCTACACTAGAGTCCCAAGTTCATCTTCAATGCATGAGAGTAAAAATTTAACATCACCAAAATGGTGACATTGAAATTAGTTCTGTACCTATGAAGTTCCTTTTTTATGTACACCATAAATGAACAATAACAACAAATGAAACTTAATAGTAATTTTTAATTGTGTATATGTTCCTCATCCTGCAGATGCTTAAGTTCACAAAATTCTTACATCAGAAGTATTAGCCTCTCAATGCTTTGCATGTTCCTCTGACAATTAATATTACTACTCTGTATAAGAAAAGTAACAGGTAACTCAGTAATGGTTCAGCTTAGGTGGCGAACCTTCGTCCTTGACATTTGACCTTGGATATAGGAAAACATAAGGTCAAGACTTTGTGTTTTCTTATGGTCTCTTTATTATTCTGGGCATTAGATTGTGTAAGACTTGCAGGTTCTTCACACACTGAAGACAAAGGAAGAGGCCCTTCACAGTTTTTATGCATCTCTAGTGTTCATATCTCTTCCCATTTGAATGGAAGATATTTGTCTGCAACAGAGTTCACAAAAGCCAACAGATTATTGCCTTTAACCATCTTGACTAGGACAGACAGGACACTTCTTGTCCTATACATTTCTCTCACATAAAGAGTTTTTTCTGCTTTTTTTTTTTTTTTTTTTTCTGTGGAGCCTCAGCTCTGGTTTGCTTCCAAGAGGCTATATATGCAGAATATGAATTATTACACACACATACAGAGACACAGATGTGTAAGTATATTATGTATATATTTTTTTGGTCCTGGTTGACCTAAGAGAACATAACTTCTTAAAGATAGTACTATAGTCTCTTCCTAAACAGAGAGAAGTAAATATGAGTAATATGTTGAGGTTTTTTTTCTTTAGACTCCAGAAATTATATCTTCCCTTCTCTTCTTTGTTTTACAGAGATTTAAATGTATTATTTTTTTCAAAGGTTCTGACATTCAGGAGTATAAAAGTCAAAATCTGTAAACCCCTAGAACATCTCAATCTCTATCTGTAAGGGAAACTAACTGCTTTCAGTGTAACCAAAGACCCTCCCACAACAAAATGAAAAATATCAATATTAAGATTAAGTAAATAAACATTTAAGACATCTTATAATTACCTGACAGGACTATTTGAGGCATCTGGATCATGGGCTGCTACAGTTCCAATGATAGTGCCAACTTTTGCTGCTTCAGACACCACCATGGAGTACAAACGTGAGGTAAACACAGGTGGTTCATCAACATCTTCTACGATGATCTTCACTGTTGTCATATCACTGAAGGGTCCCAAACTCAGGAAGCGAGGGTCAACATGCATATTGGCTGCTTCTATCCTCAGGGTATAACTTGTCTTAGCTTCAAAATCCAGCTCCTATATAGGTAAAGTTATTTGGAAATTTTATTATCCAGTGATGTTGCCGCAAAACTGTTTCACTTACAACCATCAGTAAGTATAAAATGAACTTTGATGTTTGTATCCAACCAGCACTTTTGATTGGCAGAGTATAGTTGATGGCTCATTTTTTAACTTTCTCAAAATACTATTTGCAGTATCTATCTAGTGAGTATTCCCCAGTGACTTTAACGGTAAAGGTAGTTCTACCCTGTGAATGAAACAAGAGTTCTCTGAGTTAATGGAAAACCTTTCTGTGACTTCTGTGATGATCAAATTCTCTCCCAATATTTCATAATTGTGAATGAATACTTCTTTTCATCTTATTCATATTTTTATCTAAGGTAAAGTCAAATACTATGCCAGACTACCTAGACATAAGAACTAGATATAATATTTACTGGTGAAAACACCTCATTCAGAAAACTGTGTTGGATTTTTTTAGTTGTTTTCTTTTTTTTTTTTTTTTCATAGCACTGTTATTGACTAATCAATTATTACTTCAAGCTCTGTATAAATTTGTGTAGAAAATGTGGCAATCGGTTAAACTACGTTGTTTCGCTGACAATATTTTGTACTAAGATATATCTGAGAGATTTTTTTTGTTCTATTTTGCTTATTAAAAAATATGCATATTAATTTTCCCACCTTCATTCTGATTTAATTTTCTTTGATGACAGTTTCTTTTGGAAGAAATACTGCATTAGAATTAGAAATGACACCCCATAGCTAACGGGATATCTGTGATCTGGAAGACTGTCCCATAAAGAAAATTATTTTGGAGACAAAAAAGTATCTTAGGACACAGGCAATTATTGAAAGAAAGCCTCATGTTAATAGTAACACCATTTACACTGTATCTATAGTCTTAGTTTTTCGACTTGTATCTAATGTCTGGATAGCTATTCCTTTGTAATTCCAAGTTTCATTAAGAAGAGCAACAAAAGACCCAAACATTTCTAAAACTGCATTCTGGTTACTCAACTATCTTTTCAAACTATAATTCCGAGTGTATAAAACAGATTTTAAAAGGTTTTCTACAGTTCTGATTCTGAATATATTATAGGGATCTGAAATGTGCTTGCAAAATAATCTGACAGTATTTGCAGAACATTCCAGTACTCACTCAGAGGAACAGCAGAGGTGAAACACACATCTGTTGACCTACAAATGCAAGGGTCTAAGTTCTGCATCAAGTTACAGTAGGATATATCACAAATGAGCATTTTAAACTCAGCGATTATTCTGAAAATAATACATCTGTAAACAGTTTAGATTTAAAAACTAAAAATTAATTGCAGCACATCACAGTCAGAAAGACGTTGAACTTTTATAAGCTCTATGTGGCAGCAAAAGACTTCTCTGAACAGGAATACATGTGATCTGCGTGTTATGCAAGTGCTTACTTCCTGCACTGAATCAGAGCTGTAACATCCATAGCTTTCCAAACTAGATATGCCATAAAAGAAAAGTTGTCTGGATACTGGTCACTATCCTAGGTACAACTGGTCAGTATTTATTACTAAATCATATTTAATCTGTTTTAACTTAAATTTTAGTTTTATTTTTAAAGTACAATATGTGTGCTATGAATCAAACCTCACAGCCATTAATCCAAATCTCATGCAGTGCTAGAGTGGTGAAAAATGTCTCAGAAACTACATTTTAGGGTGATAACAATTAAGCAACTGACATGATCATATAAGAAGTAAGCTTAAAAACACAACCAAGCACACAAATATTGTAAGACTTCTCATTTTTCAATAAAAGCATTATATTAACTAAAGAAATTATAACCTGAAACGACAAAAGGCTGAGATTTATTGATGAAAAAAAAAAAAAAAAAAAAAAAAAGAAAGAGAGAGAGAGAGCTTTTATCAAACAGTGTATTTGCAGTCAAAATGTTCAAAAATATGTAGCAGAGAAGGGAAGGCTAATTCATTATCATTAATCAGTTATATCTGTTTAAATTGGATGATTGAGATTACAGCAATACTTAACCAAACACATAGAAATATATAATGAGACTGAAGACAAGATATCTTTCTATGATATACTAATGTCAACACCACAGTCATCCTAAGAAAAAAAAGATTATGAAAATTATGATTTAATAGACAAAGTGCATAAAGCAAAGTATATGTAATTGGGCAAATTATATAAATTTTAATTGGTATAAACTAAACACAATAATGAAGAATTATTATTTAAATTATATTTTGAAGATATTCCCGTGTTTCTGTATTGATTAAGGAAGATTAATTAGAACTTGAATAATTGAAATCATAAAAATGTGTTTTCCATGTGAATGTTTATTACAAGGGCTGACATACACATTTAAATCATTATATTTAATTCTTGTAATGTAGAAAGAGATCATTCTTTATTTGACTGGTTTACAGGAGTATTATACTAGTAGGGAATACACAAAACCCACTTTCATTAGAAAGGTATTTCCTCACAGAGAAGGATGCAAAACTAATGATGGTTTAGAAGAGCATTCTAAACAGGCTTCCTTACTAAGACCACATTTCACCTTCTCTAACTTAGGCATGTACATCTGAGAAAATCACCATATGGTGCTTACTTCTTCTGGGGAAGAAATCAGCTGGTATACTGATGAATGCCTTTTTTTTTTTACCACTCACCAGTAAGTCAGTCTCAATAGCTGAAAGAAGTGAACACCTGCTTTCAGCAGCACAAATCCTGACCTACAGTTCCCTCAGATATCTTCTGCTATCCAATGCCGCTGATAGTTTCCAAAATCTATAAGGGTCCTTGTCAATGAAAAATTTATAAATAAAAAAATATAATGTATGTACATATACAGTAGGGAACAGTAGGTGTTCAGAAGAGGGGAAGTATGTGTTTGTAAAGGGGTTTTGTAACATCAAATGGTATTGTGTTATACAGGGGCAATAATACTGTTTTATTTTAGTTCTTCATAGCAGTCTGTCTCCTGTGGGTGGGACAATGTCTACAAAAGGTACAGTCATCATCCTCAGTCTGCTCCTAGAAGATACACATCCTCAGATCCTGTGGTGAATACACTTACACCAGGTTTTGAGGCAGAATATAATCTGGGAATGTCGCGGTTTGGGCCTGGTCGGCAGCCAACCACAACACAGCAGCTCTCTCCCTTCTCTTCTAGCAATAAGAAGGAACGGAGAGCCAGGCTTGGGGTTAGAGATAGGACTGGGATGGAGAACAATCACCCTTTATGGTCACGAGCAAAAGGCAGACTCATTAGGGGAAGAAAAAAAGAACATACATTTATTACAGACACTAACAACAACACTTAACAGAGTAGGACAGTGAGAAACATTGCCACATCTTGAGAACACCTTCCCCCCACCCCTCCCTTCTTCCCAGGCTCAGCTCTGCTCCCGATATCTCTACCTTCTCCCCACAGCGGTGCAGGGGCAGGGAATGGGAGGGTGCAGTCAGTGCTGCAGCTTTCTCCATCTTCAGTGGGGTGAGCTTCTGGAACTTGTTCCCCCTGCCGCATCATGGTTCTTCTCTCACAGGAGACAGCCCTCCACAAACTTTCTCCTACATGAGTTCCTCCCATGTGCTGCAGCGTTCCCCACACTGCTCCGTCATGGGTCACTAACTTTCTCTGGCTGGTTTCTCTCCCACAGCTGCAGCCCTTCCTGAGCTGCTCCAGCGTGGGACACCCGCACATGCTGCAATCCTCCCCAGCTGAATTCCCACAAGAGCCTGGCCTTCTTCAGGCACAGCACCTTGATCAATCAGGTGGAAACCACAGGCCATAAATCAGTGTCTGCTCCACCATAGATCTTCATGGGTGGTGGAGGGCGCCGCCCTGCTGTATCACCACAGGATACAGGGGGGTCACTGCTCCGGCACACCTCCCCCCTCCTTTCTTCCTCCATTCCTCCACTGACCTTGGTGTTCACGCAGCTGCAGCAACTCCTCCTCACAAGTCCAACTGCACGTCACCACGTCCCTACTTAAATACATTATCGCAGAGGTGCAGCTGATTGACTCAGTTTCCAAACAAAGGTGGAACTGACTTGGAGCTCGGGGAGCTTCAAGAAGCTTCTCACAGGGGGCCACCCCTATAGCTTCCTCCCCTGCCTCCAAAAAACCCCACCACTCACTCAACCCAGGACAGGGAAAATAAACAAAACCTCTAAGATATGATTAGTATGCAAGAGTTCTTGAGCTGGTGGAACGGTTTCAACAATTCATAGATAATGTAATGAAGACGTTACATACGACTGACACTAATGAAAGACTGAAAAAGTGAACTGAAAAGATTTCATTTTTTTTTTTTGTTTCTTCTTATCTAATTATCACTGATGTCTGTTATATAGAGTTCAGTATTTAACTGGCCTTCAGATCATGCATCCATTTTTTCCTGCTATAACAGAAGTACAAGATACCAATAATGGAATGGCAGGTCAACAGACTAAAAATCAGTTCCTCTGTTTTGAAGGTTAAATGGAAAATGTATATTTCAGTCCTTCAGTTCAGTGAATAGAGCTTGACAGCTTCATTAATATCTGCATTAGTGTTATCTGATTAGATCCCCTGTAGGATCCATTCATCTTTCTCCCATTTGGGGGTTTCTGGGGTCTTTCCTGCTCCCTTTCTTTCATTCTTTCTTTCTTTGTTTTCCTTTTTTTTTTTTTTTTTTTTTTTTTTTTTTTTTTTTTTAAAGGGGTAAGAATTTTATCGTCCAAAGGAAATTACAGAACAAGTCATCTATATTACAGAGGTTGGATATGAAGTTATCATTTGCAGGAAGACCATTTTTGTAATGTTCATTTTTTATTGTACGGTAACTTTGTAATGATGTACTTTCCAGAGGTGAAAATCCCATTTTTAAACCCAGTTGAGGTTTTATATTGAAAACTGCAGTATATCAAGCAAATGCACATTATCTCTCAAAGGAACCATCGAAGCCTCTAGTTCTTACATTGTAAACTCTGATATAGGACTGAAAGAAAAAT